TTTGTATGCAGGCGCTTGTCCAGCTGCCAAGCGTGAGCGTCGCGAAGGCCACGATGCGGCATTACGAGGAAGACGCCGAGCCGAAGATTGGGCAGAAGCGGGTGTACCTCAACTACTCCCGCTCCCGCTCGATCGAGACCCGTGATGGCGAGAGCCTGGCCGTCGGCGCCACCGCCGGCGGCGGTAACTTCAACAGCAACAACGGCGGTGCCAGCAACGGCGGGGGCGGCGGCAACGTTAACGGCGGCAACAACGGGCTGGACCTTGCCCGGGCGATCAACGCCGCCCGCGGGGTCGGCGGGATGGACGGGGGCAGCGCTGGGAACCCGATGCAGGTCAGGGCTGCTGTAGTTGGTGGTAATGCTGCTGCTGCTCCGCTATTGCCGGTGTCCGTGCCAGCGTTCTTTCTCGGCCATGGTTTTTGAGAAAACGGTGCTTAGTGTTTGATCGTTAGCACCATTCTGGTATGGTGACGAACGACGTGAAGAGCAACACCGCACGTTTTCCACTCTCGCGGTGCCTCACGGCGCGCCACAAGTTGGTTGCCTTGCGCAAGGCTATTTTTAGTCGGCAACACCCAGAGACGCGTTGTGGCGGACGGTAACGGCAAGCCGGGGACGTTCCACGAATAGCAGACCACGGGGTAATCTCCCCCTCGCTTGTTTTCATGGAACACTCGTACCGTGACCTTCTCTCATGATGAAGAAATATACCAACGTGAGTCGGGTGTCTGCCTTTTTCTTTGCGCCCTGTGCAGGAAACTCCGAGCCCGTACGCGCACCTCATCATGGAGGACCACGCCAAGCTCCTCGGTCTCGCGACCTGCTACCTTCAGACCTACGGCATCCCCGGCGGAGAGGGAGCCATCCTCAACATCAACCAGCGGGAGGAGATGGCCGAGCGGCAGCGGCAAGCCATGGCGGCCGCTTTCGCGCTCACCGGCGCCAACGGCCACGCCCTCCACCACGCCGGCATGGGCGCCTGGAATGGCAACGCGGCGGCGGCAGCGGCGGCGGCGGTGGCTGAGGCGGGTCGCCACTCGCGTGGGGTCTCCGGGGGAGGGGGCGGGGTTGGCGCGGGCGGCGGGGGGGGCGTCTTCTCCACCGGCTACGGGGGAAGACCAAGGTGGGGTTGGGCATTTGGTTTGGTTTCTCTAGAAAAAGGTGCAATCGCAGAAAGACTTGAAAATTATTGTAGATGCCCGTTCGAGGTATACAATCACCGCAGCCGAAGGATGTGCTGAGTTGTGTAAGTTATGAACGACAGCAGCGAGTGTGAGACGAAGCCGGCTGGATGCTGGGGCTCCTCTTTCGTGAACCTGAATTTTTTATCTGTGGGTGCCGCCAGCCAGCTGCCTACCTGGTGCAATCGTGAAGGTTAAGAGGTTTCGTTGTTTCTCCGCGCCCTACGTTCCCCCTTCGGCCCTTCGGGTTTGTTGTAGAGAAGGTAGATACCCGCCCTTGGTTTCGTTGGCGCGCAGAGGGAGGGCCGGGAGCAAGCATGTGATCGCTCGATCCGTTGTTTTGCTCTCTCACACATAATTGCTTGTTGTTACGTACCCACGCGCGTGTTGCCGCTTGGGTTTCTCGTCCACAGGTCGGGCAGCCGCGGGCGAGCCGGGGAAGGCCTCGATCGCTTACGTCGTTAGCGTGGGAGCGGCGAGCGTGAAACGTCTTGCTGTGTTTTTGCCATGCGGCGACGGAGGTCGGTCGGTCGGTCTACGCCGACGCCTCGACGTTCTCATCCTAAGTGGGAGAGCTTCTTACTTGGCTGTCCTGTGTGTGGTACAAACGTGACGCCCCTCCCTCCCTTAACACTTGTGACACGATGAGCCTCCCGTGTAGCATATTACGGCTCCTCACCAGTGAACATGTTGAGACGGTGTCGGTCGCGCGTTGAGGCGCGTCCGGCGTGAAGGAGTGTACCGTTGTGCTCTTCCGACAATGAAGAAGGTCTTCGAACACCGAAAAAGACAAATACAGCCCGGACAGGCATGACTGATGACCTGTTTCTCTCAATGCGTGGCATATAGATAGCACTCCGTGTCGGCTGCATTCGCCATATGACTTGGGACTAGATGGTTTCTCTAGAACTTTTGTGTTGAGAACGAAGACACGCGGCGCCCCGGTTTTTTATGTAAGGCGATTTTTTTTTGTTTCGTTTTTTGTTGGAACTGGCGTTCGCCGGCCTTCTTCGACGGGGAAGGGAAGACGGGCCGGAGGTAGGTACTCTTTTGCTTGGGAGGGGGTGTTCTTTATAGTCCACACGAAAATGCGATTATGCTGCTGTCTACTTTGTGTCGTGCCCGGGGCGTCACGACGGGGAAGGTGTACGTGGCCGACTGGAGGGAGAGAGAGCAGGGGCCCACGTCACATTTTTTAACCGATTACAAGTTTAACTGCGAATGAATGAACATTTCTTTGTCGTTGATCGATGCCTTGCGTTTCGGTTCTTTGCGGGTGTTGCATCTCCTTGATTGTCGGGTTAATGCCAGCGCGCGCGATATGAGTTGATTTTGTTTTGTACCTTTTTGTTGGTTTGTCCTTTTTGAGCTTGGTCTGTTTTTGCTCTTGTTGCTGGTAGCAGGGTTGGCTTTGGCTGCTGGTCTTGGTTGCCGTGCACACGACCTCTCGCGCGTGAGTGTGTGTGCCAATGATGCCGAGTCTGCTGTTGAGGTGGTGGAAGAAGGGCGGACCCAAACGTGGCACCAGGTCAGTGTGGGTAGGGCCGGAGGAGGGTTAAGTCGAGGGTCTCCTTTCCAGCCCCCGCCGCTGCGTGGGCGCGTGCATGTGTGCGTGTGTTTTCGCGTGCGTTATTTTCTGCGTTTCTTTGTTCGTGCATGTAAGACGTGAGATCTTCCTTTGTTATGTGTTTTTTCGCGATTTCGGTTGGTGTTTTGGTTGGTTTTGACAGAATAGACGGGGGGGTCAATACGTTATGTGAGCTGGTTTGTGTATGTACGATATTTAGCCTGAACAAGAAATGGAAAGAGGAAGGCACCCAGCACGTTTGTGTTTCTATTTGGTGAAGAAAGAAGGATTGAGAGGCGAGCGATTTTTACATGCGGAGGTTGCTCGCCGTAGGCGGTGCAATCGCGTAAATTATACTTTTGTTTCGTATGAAGCCCCGAGACGATTAAATAAATGATGTGGGGCTGGTGGCGTATGGAATAACAGACACCACGAGCTCTGATGAAATATTAAGTCTCGACGGGAGGGGGGTCTTGTCTTCGAGGGGATTCAATTTTGCGCACATGGAAGTAGGTTACGATCGTCGATTCTGATTCGAGTGTTTTTGTGTGGTGCCTGAAAATGCATGCATGCTTGTATGCGTATGGATGGGTCCGTAGGGTCTGTAGCGACGCGTGATAATCGTCGTCGCTAACCAAGTGCAAGTCCAGGGGCGATTCTACTAAATTTTTCAGACTTGCTTTCAGAGCGTGCCTTTTTGATGGATGAAACGTTGAAACGATACCTAGTTGTTGATAGCGGGCAGTTGTTTGATGGCGGGCAAGAGGGAGCGAGTGGGCGAGGAGCGTGAAATTGGTATCTGGACGACCTGTGGACTTGTACAGTATGTATCCCAACGCTGCCGCTGCCTGTCGTGAGTTCGACTCCATATTTCCCCCGCCCGCCTACCCCCCACACCAGGCTGCACAAGCTTGCTTTGGGGTTGCTCGTGAGTTCCTTTCTCACATACACTGCTGGTAAATTGGTCTTGGTTACTGCGTTTCGTAAGTTCGATTGTTCGTTTGAACGCATCTTGATTGATTGCTGTCGCAGTCCATTCGCGGACGGTTCACTGTTGGCGGAATGCTCTCTGTGCACCCAGCAGCTGAATAGCAACACACCATCATCGCCGAAAAGAAGCAAAAGGAGGGAAATTATGTTTGCACCCGCCCGTGCAACACAAAAAACAGCCCAGCGTCACATGCGCGTGCCCCCGTGATTTATGGGTAAGCCTCCCATCTCATGTGCACATTTGATGTTTAGCGTGGCGATGCGCTCTTCTCTCTCGCAAACATGCTCGCGGATGGAACTCGAGGGTGAGGTCGACATCAGTCTCATCAGGGACATCCATCGAGTTTTCGCGCGCCGTGTGTGGTAAGATGGATGTGTGACTTTCGGAGGTCCACACCTCTTACTTTGTGTGATCCGTCAGGCCCAAGCCGGCTCGATTTATTGGCTCGTATGTTCCCACGTATCCAATTCAGCTCGAACAGAACAACCTTGCGGTTGCGGAATAATCGAGAGCCTCCTGCAAGACACCAGTCGCACGAAGCTCGATTCCTCGTGATCTCGGCCTGATTTTCTTTGATTGGTCGTTTACTTTTTCATTGTTGTTACGACGACGTGTAAATGCACTACAGAAAAGAAAAGAAGTGCAAACAACTTTGACAACCCCGAAACATGGGGGTTCACGTGAGTCTGCGCCACCAACCCCAGACCGACTGCCATCCGTTAACGTCGAGACTGCGTGACGGACGGACCTACGCCCCCCTGAAACATGCACTTCCAAAAAGCCCAGAGGGAGACATTCAACAAAAAAAAGAAGGAACGCACCGACAAGTTGCAAGCCTGGTGTGCTGGCGCCATGCGGAGGGTTGGGAACGAAAAGCACATGATTTCCCCTATCCTCCCACCACCCACCAGATTGACGCGCTTCGCCAACTATAGTCCCCTCCTTGCGGCTGCAGTCACCTTAAGTTTTTGTCACTACGCCCCCCCCCCGCCTCCCCTGTGGCTACAAACCTCATGGCACGTTTTGCCGTGCGTGTTTAATAGCCATCCCGCCCAATAGACGCCACCTTTGTAAGAGGACGATCCAAGTCTCGTCGCGCTCGTCCCTCCTCGCCCAGCATACGTACTTCACACAAAAGCCCGTGGTTCTACAGTAACCATTTACCGTCACCCCTCCCTCTCCAAACACCCCCATTACCGCTAGAGTGCAAGCCGCGTCCGGCCAGCAACAGCAGCATCAAAGTGGGCAAAGAAAACTTTAAAATGGCCCACCATTTAATACCCCAATACCGTCCCCTCCTCCCCCACGGTTGGTGCTTCATCTGCCTCTCTCTCTGTTCCTATGTGTCGTCAAACGACACCGACTTCAATTTCTTTCATCGTGCCATCGTGCCTACATCAGAGAATGACAGAGGAAAAAAAAAAAACAGGATCGATCGCACATCTACGACGCCAGACAATATGCTTGCATGGAATCACGGTCAAACTCCTCCATTACAAGCGACAACCAACTGCTGCGAACCAGCTAAGCGTCCGGGACAGGTTTGCTCTAATACCCTTCGTGCATGCAGACAATTTTGAATCACCCCGATTAACATACACCATCGCGCAGCACCCAACACAGAACGGCATATTTCGTAAAGCCCTTCCCACAAGTAGCTCGCCCTTCAACCGACGTCATCCTGTCCGCTCCTCTCAAAACATACTTAATATTTCTCTACGCTCCCCGCCCCCTCCGCTCAAAATCTCGGCTCGCAACACTTCTTTTGATCAAAGCAGCAAGTGTGAGCGACAGACCATGAAGCAACGGCGCGGCGCACCAAAAGAGTGGGTCTCTACGACTCTCCACACCACCTGCACCTCATGTCTCCGTATTCCCATCCTCAATCCCCCTTCCCCCCCGCCGCCCACCGCCGGTAACACACCTCGAACCACGACAACGACGAACTTATCATTAGGTCTTACAGGAATAGTGAAATAACGAAGCAAGCAACGCCTAACACGCCCAAAACTACAATGCAAACAGGTGGAGAAAAAACGTGGCGAAAAAAAATAAATAATAATAATAAAGCTGACAAATCGAGCTACTGTACTCGCGATCGTTCCAGACCCCCAAGAGGACAAGACAACAAACGTCGAATCGATTCGCCAGCCCACGAGGGAGTTAAGACCGACCAGGATATATATGAAAATTTAACTTTGCAACAACGTATCGATCGATGCGGCGCTAACGTACAAAACACAGTCTTTAGTACAGTTCCTGCGACTCCGTTTTTCGTTGTTCGTCTCTCTCTTGTTCCTTCCGTCTCCCGACCAAAGTCTCTCGCCTGCAGCAGCTAAAACGGTGACAAGAGAACATTACGCCAGCCACGACTTGGAATCAAAAGGTTTGGGTGGTTCCTATGCATACGGTACTCGATGCATTCGCCTGTACGCATAATTCAATCGCCTTTACGAGAACGGTTTTCAAAAGAGTGTGGAAATGACAGAAATCAATAAACAGTAAGATATGAAATAAGAAAAAAAAGAAACCAACGTCGCGTTCGGTGCACCCCCAGTACTCGCACTCCTGTGACGAACAGAAAATCGGCATGCTGAGAGGGAAACGGGTCGTAAAGTCCCTACCCGCCTGTAAGGACCTCACACCCATCGTGGCAAGAGCTTCACGACAAAACAAGAGTTTGTTCCGTGCTTTGTTCGTGCCGCCGTCGACTGTCCAAAACCACCGAGATGGGAGCTCCGACGGAAATACACGACCACCCGGCACCACACGCAAAGCCTATCTCGATCACGTAACAACGACAGTCCGACCACCCCGGCCGAGCGGTTTCCACCGCTCCCGCCGCCGGTGGCCTTAGCGCTCGCCCCCCCAGAGAGAATAAATGTCATTTCAACACGCGACCGCGATAAGCGCCTCAAGAGCTAGCCCGCCGCCTAACCATACTAACACAATTTGCACACGCACCCAACCCCGAGTGCCACGAACAGCAAGTGTACGTTTTCTTCCTTTTCCGTTTACTTCGCAGCAGCGGCAGGGCTGGTCGTCGCAGCGGCGGCGGCGGCGGCATCAGCAGCGGGCTTGGTCTCCCCTTCGTCCTCGTCGTCCGAAGCAACGAGGCCCACAGCTTCCGCAACCTTCTCGATGAAGCCAAACACGCCGCCCTTCTTCTCAGGCGACCCCTCCGCGCTGGCCGCCGCCTCAACGGCCGCAGCGTCGGTAGGATTGACCGTCGATGACGGAGCTTCTCCGTCCTTGCCGGAGCCGAAAAGAATAGACGTCAGCACGTTTCCTTCGCCGCCGCCGCCGGCCGGTTCCCCCGCACCAACGTCCATCGGCGGGGGCGCCGTAGCTGATACTTCCATGTAGGTACCCGAGCTCTCCCCCCCGGGGGTTGACGCCGCCGCCGAAGCCTTCAGGCTAGAAGCCGTTCCGTCGCCGGCCTCCGTGGCGGCATCGTTAGGCGCTGCTCGGTCAGTCGGTCGGTCGATCGGTCGGTTATTTTGTCGGCATCGTGATGTTAGACGCGCCGAACACAAACATGGGGTGGGGAATATAGTGTCAGAAAAAGGAAAGAATAAATTCCTGGTCGTGCTTGGGGGGTGGTCAATACTTGTACGTAGTTGTCGTTTGCCTTGGGTGCAGTCCTCAAACACAAATTAGGTTAGGCGCGGCAAAGAAGTTTTGGCATACAAAGCGCACCTGAAGAAGGTTATCATGCTCAAACCTACAAACAATGACGTGCAACATCCCATGGATGGGGGGGCTGCAGCTCACCCAACGCGTAGGTCGAGAGGTGCACCCCTATGCACGCTTCTGCGAATTACGAGCCCCCCTCCCTCCCCCCTGGTGATCCAAAAATATCGTAGGCGCACTCTTGTCGAACGCTCGTTCCTCCGAAAAAAATACTCTGCCTGCGATCATCCCCCACCCACGGCTTGGCAGGACCGCCTTCGCGAGATGACTAAGTTTATGTATACCGTATATGACACAAGATAACACACCCCCTTGGCCAATTCTCGAAGCTCGATTTCTCAACTGCAGGAACAGCCACAGCGCCGAAAACGGCGGCGTCGAAACCGTCTCGAGAGCTTTTCGAAAATGTGTCGTTTCGTTTACGCATCCTCTTCGTCGTGGAGTAATCGAGCTTTGAAAATCGGTCAAGGGGATGTGTTATCTGGTGTCATATACGGTAGGGAAGTAGAACAGGGAGAGGGGACACAGACCCTATTCCCTAACCCTAGAACACAACTTCCCCGGTTGTACGCTTTATCCAACATGTCTTGCATCACAAGTCGAAACACCCTACCAAGGCAACTGGCTTGGCATCGCCCCTGTTATATCTCCCTTCTTCCCTCCGTCTCTCCCTCCCTGCCTACCGCACTCACCGTCCGTAGCGTCTTCTTCGGGCAACTCGTAGGCATCCTCCTCGCGCTTCACACCGCCGCCTCCGAACAGATACCCGAACACGCCTCCGGACTTCTTGCGCTCCTTGACGCGGGGGGCGGGGGCGGGGGCAGGGGCGGGGGTGGGGGCCTTCGCCACATCAGCGGGGCTAGGGGCGGTGTCCACCCCGGCCTCAGCCGGCGGCTTGTCGTCTTCGGCGACGGGCACGCCGGCCGCGTCGAGAGCGGCCACAAGTTTCTTCTCGAAGCTCAAAGCGCTTCCCGGTGCGTCTGAGGCGAGCAGGGGTCGTTGAATCAGGTTCGTTCCGGTTACAGCAGCAGCAGCAGCAGCAGCAGCAGCAGCAGCAGCAGACACGGGACGGCACGGGGTGAGAGACAAGCCGCTTGTAGGACACTATTCATAGGATGTACATCGAACGGCGCAAGTGACGAAATAACTCGTTTAACGCGTGATGAAAGAACAACAGCTGTCACAGATTCGAAACTCGTCGCAGAGACGCGGCGTCTGCAGCAGCTTGACGGAAACACACCACAGCTTCTAGGGCAAACACGTTGCACCGTACACAACGAATGAACCACGAACACTCTCGCCAAACAGAAACTTGTGTATCGTAAACACGGCCGGCCTCTTAACACCCCCTTAGTTCACACCTGAGTCGGCCGCTACGCCGGCGGCCCCAGGGTTAACCCCGGGAATATCAGTCGCCGCTCCTCCCTTGATTTCCCCGTAGACGGGCAGAGCGGCGCTGCCGCTCCCAACGTCCATGTCTCCCTCGCTGACGGCTCCGCCGTCGTCGACGGCTCCGAGAGCTGCGCCAAAGGCGGCCGAGAGCCTGGAGCTGTCGAGCCCCGAGGAGGTGACAGCGTCGTCGCCAGGGGCGGAGACGGACAGCGCCGGTGCGGAGGCGGACGCCTCTACGCCCGGCGCTGTTGGTGGTGAGTCGGCGGGGTGATAGGGGGGTCGGGAGAGCGGATTATTGGGTTCGGTGGGGGGGGGGGGGGGGGGGGGGGGNGGGGGGGGGGGGGGGGGGGGGGGGGGGGGGGGGGAGCACCGGTCAGCGGGTAGGCACCATTCATGTGCCTGTCGACCTTGAACATCAACAACATTCATGTGAAACCGTTAAGCGGGAGTACGGGCGGGAACCCGGAGAGAGGCGGCTACGCACGCGTGTCACACCAACCGGCTGCATCTGACGCTTCGCGCGTCTACAGAGTACACCGGTCGCCCCGGTGGTCTAGAGGGCAACCTCGCAGCCTGCTAAGGGCCAGGTCATGAGTTCGAGTCCCGGTAGAGTGAGTTTTTTGTCACTCGATAAATCCTGATCTAGGATGGAAGCGACGCGCTGCAAAGCTCGTTGTTAGTAAACCATAATCGACTTCGTAAGTCGCGAGGGAAGGGATTGCTGTACCCTCCTCGCGATAACAATGCCTCAGGCAGGAACCGCAGGAGGGGGTCCAGCCCCCCCCCTCCTATGTGACACCGGTTGGGTCGTCTAGCTAGTAGAGGTGGAGGATAGGGGCCAGAGGGGCAGACAACAGAGTCCAATAATAGGAGAACAAAAAAAAGTGAAGGCTTCGGCCAACCTAACCCTTCACCCGCCAGCCAGAGAGATGTCACCATCAACAAAAAAACGTTCAAGAGCGCATGTCGAACCTCGTCGACGACACCCTCGTAACCAGACAGCAAAAAGAAAAAATGAGCTCTTTACAACACCGAACAGCCACTCTGTGGAGTAAACATCGAATCCGCTCAAAGCTAATACCTTGCCAGTGAACCAACCAACCACCACAAGAGCGCGTACAACTCACCAGCAACAACCGACGGCGCTTCTGCAGAGGTTGCGGCGAAGATGCCCTCGGTCTCGCCCACGTCAACCGAAACATCGGAGGCGCCTATTGCGCGCGGGGGAGGGGGGGGGAGAGGAGAGAGAAGGCCGGTGTACAAGACGCACAGATGGATTCAGATTGGTTCATAAATTCGTCGTCCGTGGTGGAGGTTTGAGCAACTCTTGCAACGAAGGACAAGAGCAACGGCAGACAGGCAGCACAAGGAGAAAAACGACGAGAAAAAAATCACGAGAGGAGCGACAGCGTACCTTCCACGGGCACGGCCACGGGCACCTCGGCAGTAGAGGAGGGTACCTCCACATCGATGGGGCCGGCAGCGTCTACCTTGGGGAAAGAGCCGGAACCAGACTCAGAGGACTTGGGGGAGGAGCTCTGCGCCCGGGGAAACAAACAGCGAGGTGGGATAAAACAAGCCGAACAGACGAGAGGAGGGGTGTGGGGGTAGGCGCCAACGCGTGACAAGCCACAAAAAAATGGCCGATCGAGGTTCATACAGTAGGGGCCCGATACGAGGCGGTGATGTGCGTGGTGAATAAAACCGTCTTATATCGGGCAGCCGCCTTATTCATGAATGACGCTGTAAACCGCCTTGTTCAGGGCAAAACACAGAGGTTCGCAGCGGTTTATCACCTCACGGCGCGTCATTGAGTGGAAGAAGATGGTCACGTGTAGCATGTGTTCGCAAATACATGTGTGTAATTTTCAGCAGCGACATGTACATCAGATGCCAGTAAAAGCCCTCGTGCATGCTCTTGGGAGCCAATGCGAGGAACAACGACTCTGTTACCATAGCGAAGAGCAAAACTTCACAGCCAACATGGACCCATGAAATGACTGAAAAACTTTTGTGGCCGAAGGAACACATGTATTCTGCGTCCATGGCGCTTGACCCTGGGTATGGGTTCTGAAAACGCATGCCCATCTTTGCAACAAAGTTGCTCGATGTAAGACAGCAGCTTGATAATCACCAAGGATTCTTTCGGGAAACTTCCGGCGGTAATTTTTCGCGCGAACTGCACGGGAATAGTTGTTGGTAACGTCTTACCGTGATGATCCGCAGTTACCGTATCCGCCAAAACCATTATCAAGTAAACAGCCTTCTCCCATTCCCATCCAACACAATTTCGGTGCATCGCCGTGGGGCGTTACCATCCAACGTTTCCGTGCAATATGTGGTGGCCAGTTTGTACCCCACAAATATTCCGGTGCATTACCGAGGTGGGTGGTTCCCGAAAGAAAATGTCGTGGTGGCCAGTTGTCACCACCCCAGCCTTACCGTGCAATACCGCGGTTGTTGACTGCCGCAAGTAACTACCGTGATGAGAAGATTCCATCCAGAAAATACGTCCGAGTACCGTGGTCGATGGTTCCCGTACCAATCGTTACATACGAGAATCCGTACCGAAAGGAGCCTCGAAATTTCTACATCTATCTTCAAGAATATTCTCAGGTTCGGGTGGCACACGGGTTTACATGTGCCACGTGATAACTGTTGGTAGGATCCGGGCGTTGTATGTGCGCTCGCTCAGATGCTTTCCGGAGGGCGTACTCACGCGAACATGATCACCGCCTCATGTCGGGTATGAGATAGGTAGATACCGTCTTACACAGGGCCTGACCTGGTATAAGGCGGTGGCCGCCTTATACCGGGACTGAGTTGTGAACGCAAATTTCGACCGCCTTATTCACGTCGCCTTGGATCGGACCTCCTTAGAGTATCTCACTGTATGCGCGGGCACTAAACAAGCGCTCGCTGTTGCCTCCCGACATCACGCACGCGTCACTCCTCCTCTTACCTAGACAAGCCCGACCACCACCAAACCCCGAAAGAAAAATACATCTTCCAAATTGCGGAATCCCCAAACTCACCAGTCTCTTCTTCATGTACCCGAAGGGCTTCAAGATCCTCGAGAAGCTACCACGCTTGCTCCCCTTAGTCCCGCCCGGAGACGTCGCTTCGAAGGAGCCCGTGGCAACGTTAGCGTCGAACTTAGGCAGGGAGGAGGGTTTGACGTCTCCCTCCGGAAGCTCGGCCGCCACTTCGCCCTCGGGCTTGTCGCCCGACAGGCCAACCGCCGCGCCGACCGCACCCTCAGCCGCCACACCACCGGCCGCCAGGCCAGCCGTCAGCGACGTGTCGCCGCCCTCCACCTTCACGTCCGGCGCCGTCACGCTCACGTCGCCAGAGGGCAGCTCGCCACCGACGCCTCCTTCCACGGAGGGCATCTCGCCTGCCAGGTCCACGGAAGGCACCTCCACGGAGCCGGACGGCGCGTCGATGTCCACCGAAGGCACATCCACAGAGCCAGACACGTGCGGCACGAAGACATCCGCAGAACCGTCCGGCACTTTCAGAGAGCCAGAAACGTCCGGCAGGGACACATCGGCAGACACACCCGGCACGGACAAGTCTCCACTCACGTCCGGCACAGACACATCGCCGCTGACATCGGGCACCTTCAGGGAGCCAGCAACGTCCGGCACGGACACATCGGCCGACACACCAGGCAGAGACACGTCTCCGGTCACATCCGGCACGGACACGTCTCCGCTGACATCGGGTACCTTCAGAGAGCCAGAAACGTGCGGCACGGAGACACCGTCAGAAATGTCCGGCACAGACACGTCGGCGCTGGCGTCCGGCACAGAGAGGCTGACGTCCGGCACGGGAACATCCCCGCTCAAGTCAGGCGCAGACACGTTCACGTCAGGCACGGAGACATCGGCCGAGACACCCGGCACAGACACATCTCCGCAAACATCCGGCAGAGCGGCGGTAGCGTCCGGCACTGTAACGTCGGCAGAAACATCCGGCACGGACACGTCGGGTGCCGAGACGCTCAGGCCAGGTGCCTTCACTTCCCCGGAAACGTCGGGGATCGACGCCGTGAAATCAGACACTGACACGGATGGCGCATCCGCGTCCACAGACGGTGCGTCGACGTCTGCCGAAGGCACATCCACGCCAGGCACCTGGATCCGAAACGTTGTGATCGGCGGAAGGGGGATTGAGGTGAAAAATCGGCGTAAAACCCTGCAAGTACAGATCGGAGCGAAAAGCAACACGAACGACTGGACGCGCGTTCTCCGAAAGAGCGGAAGCCTATCGAGAGGCGAAGACACTAAGCGAGACGCGACCAAGAACACGATAGAAGGGAAAGATGAATCTGCACGGTGAATTTTCCGCAAGGGCCTGGCCAGCCAAATAATGCAAACAGGTGGATGGAGTTGCAGACCACAAAGAGGTCGCCCGCCCCCACAAGGCGGCAGCTTTGGCAATCGTTCGAAGCCCGTCGACCCAAACAAACCCTTCGCTCCGCACCTCCGCGTCAGGCTTGTCGCCCGACAGGCCAACCCCCGCGCCGATCGCACCCACAGCCGCAACACCGCCGGCCGCCAGGCCAGTCGTCAGCGACGTGTCGCCGCCCTCCACCTTCACGTCCGGCGCCGTCACGCTCACGTCGCCGGAGGGAAGCTCACCGCTGACACCTCCTTCGACGGATGGTACATCGGGCACATCCGGCACCTAATAGGCACGGACACAGAAGCGGGCGGTGGAGCGAGGGCTCTGAGTTACCCTAGAGAACCAAGGCGAATACCTCGCCCGCTCTGTGGACGCGCCTCAGCCATTACCGTACGCAGAACGCGGGGCAAGGTCTGCTGTAGGGCTTGCTTGAAAACGGAGGCAGGTGAACGCAGCACACAGGAGCCGTGCCCTAGAACAGCGGCAGCAACCACGAACGAGGAATGAATCTAGCATCAAACTCTCCGTTTACACACAAACGGAAAAAAACAAATGTACAAAACCGTTGGCGGAGTACCGGTAAGACCAACCAGCAGGACAAAACGCCGAGCCAACCATCCCGGACTCGATCCAACAGAATCGACCTGTACGTCGCAGCTGGCCACAGAGCAGTCCCCACCTCGATGCTGGTCTTGCCCGACGGCTTCTTGAACGACAGACCGCCGAACAGACCCTTCTTCGGCTTCTTCACCTCCACCGATGGCACTTCCGGGGTATTGGCCGAGATGTCCTCCAACTTAGCACCCACGTCTGCCTTCAAGTCAACCTTGCCTCCCACATCTGCCGAGAGGTCACCGACCTTGGCCACGACATCAGCAGGCAGGTCACCCACGGACGGCAACGACGCGTCCACCTCTGCAGAGGGAACGTCTACCGATGCCGAGGGGAGAGAGGCGTCGGCGTTGACGGAGGGTACGTCCACAGAGGCATCCACCCCCGGAATCTGCAACAGACACACATGGTACGACAACAAGTACTTAGGCAAGCGAAGCAGCAACAACCACCTGATGCACGATCCATGCATGCAGCATCCATCCAACGCGAGACCGTTTCCCTACGGAAATCACGCACGCGACAACCAAACCGTAGGTCCGCAACCGACAACATGTCGCAATCCACCACACGATGGGAGCTTCGCCTACTGCTGTCAACAAACAGCCAGGGCCTCGTCCTCACCTCCGGACTCGACGTCTTGCCCTTACTCATGAACGAAGGCTTCTTCAGCCCGAACTTGCTCTTTTTCGGCTTCTTCACGTCCACCGAAGGCACGTCCACAGAGCCAGACACATCCGGCAGGGACACGTCTCCGCCCACATCCGGGACGGAGACATCGGCACAGACATCCGGCACAGAAACGTCGGGCACGGAGACATCGCCGCTAACGTTCGGCGTTGAGACGGTCACGTCCGGGACGGACATATCGGCAGAAAAGTCCGGCACGGGCACATCCGGAGCCTTGGCAGCGATGTCGTCAACCTTAGCCTCCAGGTCTGCCTTCAGATCGGCCATCTTAGCCCCCACGTCTGCCGAGAGGTCACCCACAGACAGCAAGGAAGCATCCACTTCTCCGGATGGAGCGTCCACAGACACGTCGGGCACGGAGACCTCGGGCACAGTAGCATAAACGTCAGGGACCTGCGGGAGAGGAAGGGGCGGCGGAATATTCATAACACGTTTGCCTTCAAGCAGAGCAGGCGAGAGAGAATAATCATAATCACGCATCGGTTGTGTGGGGAACCAAAACCCTTCTTTTCAACGAGACAAAAAAATCAAACTCATTACGCCAGAGGCCGTCATTCAAAACGGTGTCGAGGTATCAAGAAAAAAACATACGATTGGTGAGGATACCGCGTCTACAGTACACAGAACATGAACCCTCTACATGGACTCGATTTAAGGCAGCGCGGAAACGAGACGTTCCTCGATCTTGGCCTTGCTGGAGCCGAAAAGACTGCCGAACAGACCCTTTTTTGGCTTCTCCATCTCAACCGACGGCTCATCAGGAACGGAAACACTAGCGCCCACGTCTCCGGAAGGAAGCTAACAACAAAACTAAACAAAAAGTGGATTCCCACCACATATCGAACGAGGGCAGAAGGTAAGTGAGCAACCACCATACACCGACATTTGAAGGAAACACCAGCGCCAGCAAGTGCGTACCAACAACGTCGCGTCTTGCCGGGTCAAAGCCTCCTGCAACACGGGACTGGGTACATGTGTTGGCTTCCATATATTGAGAAGCTCAATTTTTTCGGGGGTGAACGGGTGTTTGTGCGAGCGCTGATTCTAAGTGACAGAAAAGCACCAACAGACTCGTCTCTCCCATAAAGTACAAAAAAACTACCGCTGGGTGAATTACTTCAATCGGGTCCTGGGTCTTTCCACCGATCCCGCTAATATCATCAGAAAGGGGAATAATTCAGAACAACAAACCCTACAATACTAGCAAAAGGAAAATAATAAAGCTTCAATCCACCGCCATTATGACCAGATCAGACCATACTGAAGACATTGGCTTTGTTTTCAAAACGCAACCCAACCCTGCAGCAGCCGACAATCCAATCCTTCGTCCAACATGTTGTAGAACAACGCCATTCAAAACACAGCACCAAATGCCCTTCCCCTCATACCTTTACAATCTGCGGCCGGTGTATTATGCGTCTCGACCCCTACGTCATAAAAAGTTACTTTACCGCTGGTGCGATCACCAACCATCGCGACGCACCTCAGCATCCGGCTTGTCGCCCGACAGACCAACCGCCGCGCCAGCCGTCAGCGACGTGTCGCCGCCCTCCACCTTCACGTCCGGCGCCGTCACGCTCACGTCGCCAGAGGGCAGCTCGCCGCCGACGCCTCCTTCAACGGAAGGCATCTTGGGCATCTTGCCTGCCAGGTCCACGGAAGGCACCTCCACGGAGTCGGACGGCGCGTCGATGTCCACCGAAGGCACATCCACAGAGCCAGACACGTCCGGCACGGAGACATCCGCAGAAACGTCGGGCACCTTCAGAGAGCCAGCAACGTCCGGCAGGGACACATCGGCCGACACATCCGGCAGGGAGACGTCTCCACTCACGTCCGGCACAGACACATCACCGCTTACGTCGGGAACGTTGAGGGAGCCAGAAACGTCCGGCAGGGACACGTCTCCGCTCACATCGGGCACCTTCAGAGAGCCAGAAACATCAGGCACGGAGACATCGGCAGACACACCCGGCACGGACACATCGCCGCTCACGTCCGGGACGGAGACATCGGCGTCCACGTCGGGCACCTTCAGGGAGCCAGCAACGTCCGGCAGGGACACATCGGCCGACACATTCGGCAGGGAGACGTCTCCACTCACGTCCGGCACAGACACATCACCGCTTACGTCGGGAACGTTGAGGGAGCCAGAAACGTCCGGCAGACACACGTCTCCGCTCACATCGGGCACCTTCAGAGAGCCAGAAACATCAGGCACGGAGACATCGGCAGACACACCCGGCACGGACACATCGCCGCTCACGTCCGGGACGGAGACATCGGCGTTCACGTCGGGCACCTTCAGGGAGCCAGGAACGTCCGGCACAGACACGTCTGCGCTCACATCCGGCGCGGCCACGCTAACGTCTGGCAGAGAGACATCAGGCACAGCGCCGCTGACGTCCGGCACAGACGCCTCAGCAGACACGTCCGGCACGGACACACCAACATCTGGAACCTGTTCACAATGACGGGAAACAAACGGTTTTCCGGCGCAGCAGTTTAAAACCATGTTCCGACGAACGTTGTTGAAAAGAACGTAGCGGAATAAGCAACAAACCACTACACTGGGATTGTGGCGACTGAAACATATCCATTCCCTTGTTCAAGGCGAAACACATTGACACAGAGTGTTTTAATGCGCAGCCGTGTGTCACGATGTCGGGCTAACCATGGACAAAACAGCAACACCGCCAACTGGAGCAAGTCCGAAAATGAAAAATCCGGATTGAGGCCCTCCTCACCTCGATGCTGGTCTTGCCCGACGGCTTCTTGAACGACAGACCGCCGAACAGACCCTTCTTCGGCTTCTTCACCTCCACCGATGGCACTCCAGGAGCCGTGGCCGAGATGTCGTTCACCTTAGCACCCACGTCTGCCTTCAAGTCGTCAACCTTGCCTCCCACATCTGCCGAAAGGTCGCCCACCGTAGCCCCGACATCAGCAGACAGGCCACCAACGGACGGCATCGACGCGTCCACTTCTGCAGAGGGAACGTCTACCGATGCCGAGGGGAGAGAGGCGTCGGCGGTGACGGAGGGCACGTCCACGGAAGCGTCGATAGACGGGGCCTCTACCGAAGCGGTGGGGAGGTCCATCGTGGGGTCTCCACTGACGGAGGGCACGTCAATCGACGCGTCCACCCCCGGAATCTGTAACAAAAACACATGGTACGACAACGATGAGCGGCCTAGACAATCGAAGCGGCAAGTAGAAGGGTCGCAAAAGGCGATCGGGTGTCTTCTCCGTATATACCAAAGTGGCGCGAGAGCCACCAAGCCCGTCAAAACGGAAAATATCCCGCACTCGAGACGAACCCACCGCACGACGGGGGTCTTCGACTACACTGGTGACATACACGCAGGGCCGCTCCCTTACCTCCGGAGTCGACGGTTTGCCCTTGTTCATGAACAAACGCTTCTTCAGCCCGAGCTTGCTCTTCTTCGGCTTCTTCGTGTCCACGGATGGGATCTCGGGGGCAGTCAAGCTCGTACCCACAGAAGGGGCCTGCCATAAAACGAACGTCACGCAGACGTCAGCACGTATTGCTAGGACTAGCGTTGCCGTCATCACTAGTACCCTCTTCTGTTTTATGAGAAGGCACGACGGTATTGGAGGAACTCGTGTTTCCACAGCCAAAAATCAAAAGGTGTGAAACGTCATTCAGTCTCACCTCAGCGTCCGGCTTGTCGCCCGACAGGCCAACCGCCGCGCCGACCGCACCCTCAGCCGCCACGCCACCGGCCGCCAGGCCAGCCGTCAGGGACGTGTCGCCGCCCTCCACCTTCACGTCCGGCGCCGTCACGCTCACGTCGCCAGAGGGAAGCTCAACACCGACGCCTCCTTCCACAGAGGGCATCTTGCCCGCCAGGTCCACGGAAGGCACCTCCACGGAGCCGGACGGCGCGTCCATGTCCACCGAAGGCACATCCACACCGCCTGCAATGAAGGAAACGCAAGATTCGTTAGTAGGATGACTGGTTGCATGCAAACTGAGATCGAAGAGCGCAGCGGCCGGGGTATTTGACCTACTTGCGCCGCAACAGACGGCGGCTCTACACCGAGCGACGGGGCGTCGACATCGACCGTGGGGGCATCTGCGTTGATCAATGGCATTCTACCCGCAGACGGGACGTCAACCGCAACCGATGGCGCAAACGCGTCCACTGACGGTAACTCCGGCGCAGAGCCGGTAATATCGCCGCCAGCTGAAGGCATATCAAGGGCCTGGAGGTCAACCTTCACGCCTCAATGTGTGTCCGGAAACGGTCGCATTTCCGACAAAATGGTATAATCCGAGACAGCACGATGTCTCGTGTTAGACCCACAACGTTCGCTTGGATCGTCAAGTGTGACGCAACAACATCAAAGCCAGCACGCAACAGCCGAAAATGACGCGTTGCAACGTACAGCGCGCGCAAAACGCAAGCCACCAGAGAAAGACCGCTACACACGTGCATTGGACAAACGTGCATACGGCAAAAAAGGGCATGATCGTTGTCGGGTAAGTTGAGGGTAACACGAGATGCGGGCATTGCAGGCACTGCCGGAGACTTGTACGGACTCTGCTCCATCGCAGATCCTACCCAAACGATGCCTGTTCACTCGGTATGCTGTCGATTGCGTGCCAGGTCGATGTAACGTGATGGGCACGTGACCTAGGTCGGTTGGTGCTCGAGACCGTGTCTTGTTGCCAAATTCAGGTCTGGGCAACGAAGCAGAGACGCAAAGCACACACGAGGCTTACCGGGCACATCCACTGATGGCATCTCGGCGTCGACGGTAGGCATGGCTGCCGAAGCTTCTGCGCCGATCGAAGGCATCGCGACATCTACACCAATGTCGGGCACAGTCACGTCCGGTGCGGACACGTCCGGTGCGGACACGTCCGGTGCGGACACGTCCGGTGCGGACACGTCCGGTGCGGTGACATCAGCATCCGGGACCTGCGATAGCAAAAAAAGGGAATTGATCTGATCAGGACAACATACATGCCTACGCGACGTCCTTGGTCAGCTGACCATCAAGTCCCAAACGAAAGACGAAAAAAGCTTGCAAAAACTCACGATAAAAAAAAACTGGTTTTTCCTAGCACAAGGGTTGAAATTACTACAGGAGCGTCGCCGACTCGGAACGACAAAGACGATCCACAATGGCTCCATTCAACCGGTCGTGTCACAACCCTTCTACGGTACACGTTTATTTCTCACCTCGATGCTGGTCTTGCCCGACGGCTTCTTGAACGACAGACCGCCGAACAGACCCTTCTTCGGCTTCTTCACCTCCACCGATGGCACTTCCGGGGTATTGGCCGAGAGATCGTCCACCTTAGCACCCACGTCTGCCTTCAAGTCGTCAACCTTGCCTCCCACATCTGCCGAGAGGTCACCCACCGTAGCGCCGACATCGGCAGACAGGTCACCAGCGGACGGCATCGACACGTCCACCGCTGCAGTGGGAACGTCTACCGATGCCGAGGGGAGAGAGGCGTCGGCGGTGACGGAGGGTACGTCAACGGAGGCGTCGATAGACGGGGCCTCTACCGAGACACCAGGAACCTCCACAGAGGCGTCACCGCTGTCGGAGGGAACGTCAACGCCCACATCGGGGAGCGAGCCAGACACACCGGGCACAGACACGTCACCAGAAACTTCTGGAAGTGATCCAGAGACATCAGGAACAGACACGTCGCCAGACACCCCCGGCAGTGCTCCGGAGACATCGGGGACCGGCGCATCGACAGTGACATCCGGTGTTGCGACGTCAACATCCGGCACCTGTGCGGCACCAGGTACACATGAGACAACGACAAGATTCACGTCACTGAATGTTACCCCCACGTGGGATACAATTCGGCATACCACGAAGGACATCGGTGCTTGACGTCAAATACATTGTCGCTGTAACAAGTTTGCGGGTTCGTCCAATGAAGATGCTGCGTACACGGGATACAGCAGCGTACCTCGCATAGCCACGAGCGATACGTCAGACGAAAAAAAGTGTCTTGTGCCAGAGACATCGACCGAACTTACACGAACGTTATCCTACCTTGGCCTTCCCCTTGAACGAAGGTTTCTTGAACGACAGGCCGCCGAAAAGACCTCTCTTGGGCTTCTTGACGTCCACCGACGGCACATCAGGGACGGAAACATTGGCGTCCACGTCTCCAGAGGGAAGCTGAACAAGCAAAAAGAACAATGAGAAACATGATCGAAACAAGGTACAATTAGCAAACTGTGCGTTTAGGAACCGACCCTCAAAGGCGACCACATTCAACGAACAGGAAGTGCAATCGTGTGACGGGGTCGACCGGGTCATTCATCGATGCGTTAATGGAAACCTGTGCACGCGCTGCCAGAACACCAGAAACAGAAGGCCCGAAACGTCATTCGGTCTCACCTCAGCGTCCGGCTTGTCGCCCGACAGACCAACCGCCGCGCCGATCGCACCCACAGCCGCCACGCCACCGGCCGCCAGGCCAGCCGTCAGCGACGTGTCGCCGCCCTCGAACTTCACATCCGGCGCCGTCACGCTCACGTCGCCCGAGGGAAGCTCACCACCGACGCCTCCTTCCACGGAGGGCATCTCGGGCATCTTGCCTGCCAGGTCCACGGAAGGCACCTCCACGGAGCCGGACGGCGCGTCCATGTCCACCGAAGGCACGTCTAGAGAGCCAGACACGCCAGGCAGAGACACGTCTCCGCTCACGTCGGGCAACTTCAGAGAGCCAGACACGTCCAGCGCGGATACATCGGCGGACACATCCGGCACCGACACATCGCCGCTCACGTCGGGCACCTTCAGCGAGCCAGAAACGTCCGGCACGGACACGTCCCCGCTCACTCCAGGCAGAGACACGTCCCCGCTAACGTCGGGCACATCTACAGAATCAGAAACATCCGGCACGGACACGTCGCCGCTCACATCGGGAACCTTCAGCGAGCCAGAAACGTCCGGCACGGACACGTTCCCGCTCACTCCAGGCAGAGACACGTCCCCGCTAACGTCGGGCACATCCACAGAATCAGAAACATCCGGCACGGACACGTCGCCGCTCACATCGGGAACCTTCAGCGAGCCAGAAACGTCCGGCACGGACACGTTCCCGCTCACTCCAGGCAGAGACACGTCCCCGCTAACGTCGGGCACATCCACAGAATCAGAAACATCCGGCACGGACACGTCGCCGCTCACATCGGGAACCTTCAGCGAGCCAGAAACGTCCGGCACGGACACGTTCCCGCTCACTCCAGGCAGAGACACGTCCCCGCTAACGTCGGGCACATCCACAGAATCAGAAACATCCGGCACGGACACGTCGCCGCTCACATCGGGAACCTTCAGCGAGCCAGAAACGTCCGGCACGGACACATCGGCAGACACATTCGGCACCGACACATCTCCGCTCACATCCGGGACGGAGGGATCGACCGAAAGATCCGGCACGGAGACATCGGCGGAAACTTCCGGTACAGATACGTCTGGCAGAGAGCCGCCCACTTCCGGCACAGAAACATCTCCGCTCACGTCGGGTACCTTCAGCGAGCCAGAAACGTCCGGCAAGGACACATCGGTGGACACATCCGGCACTGTAGCGGTCACGTCCGGCACAGAAACATCGGCAGAAGCATCCGGCACGGAGACGTCGGCATCCGGAACCTGTGGCGGCAACACCAAGAGCATGAATCGAGATTGACTCACGCACAAACCCTTTAAACACTTGACAACCAAAGCTTACAGCAGTCCAACTCGTGAAGCACCAGCGAAACAAAGCAAACACAGGAGCAACGCAGGAGCGCCGCCGATCAGATGCAGGACAACGCGCTGAAATGACGTACGTATCCTGACGCGCGTTCCAAGATCTCTCTTGATTTCGACATCGTGCGTATAGATAAGACTTAAATGCACGCTAGTGTGTGCTTGCTCGAGATACAAGAAAATCGTGCAACAACAAAAATCGGAGCGCTGAGGCAACAGGATACCCGGCGTGCTCGTCGACGCTTCAAACTAGAGCTTGCCTCGATCTTGGCCTTGGAGCCGAACAGACCACCGAACAGCCCTTTCTTGGGCTTCTTCACGTCCACCGAAGGCACATCAGGGACGGAAACACTGGCGTCCACGTCCCCGGAGGGAAGCTGCCAAAACAACGAAACCAATTAAAGGTTTAGCTTGCACCGTGAAGGAAAAGTACTTGGCGAACTCGTTGACACATGGCGAAATGCATACATTTCGGATCAGAAACACGCCAAACGCCGAGCAGTATGCACGTTGTTCCTAGATACGATCTAGGTGATATGATTCACCGTCACAGCGGCAACGGGAGCATCAAACGTCTGGTTAATCGGCAAGGTCTTCGAAAATTGGACTACATTTGGTCAGGCTCGTCGCCTACTGCAATTCCACAGCCACTGAGACAGTAGCCAGGACTGCCTAAACATGCCATCATACCGCAAACACCGCTCATATTTGGTGTACTACACAAAGCCACCATGCACATATACCTCAGCGTCCGGCTTGTCGCCCGACAGACCAACCGCCGCGCCGATCGCACCCACAGCCGCCACGCCACCGGCCGCCAGGCCAGCCGTCAGTGACGTGTCGCCGCCCTCCACCTTCACGTCCGGCGTAGTCACGCTCACGTCGCCGGAAGGAAGCTCACCACCGAAGCCTCCTTCCACAGAGGGCATCTTGCCTGCCAGATCCACGGAAGGTACCTCCACAGAGCCGGACGGCGCGTCCATGTCCACCGAAGGCACGTCCACAGAGCCAGACACCTCCGGCAGGGACACGTCTCCGCTCACATCAGGCACCTTCAGGGAGCCAGAAACGTCCGGCACGGACAGGTCGGCTCTCACGTCGGGCACCTTCAGTGAGCCAGACACGTCCGGCACGGACACGTCTCCACTCACGTCGGGCACCTTAAGAGAGCCAGAAACGTCCGGTGCGGACAAATCGCCGCTGACGTCCGGCACAGAGACATCGGCGGAGACATCCGGCACGGACACGTCTGCAGCCACGTCGGGCATAGCGACGTCCGCGTCCGGGACCTGTGGCAAGCACGCACAGTTACCAAGGAAAGCGACAACCAAGATTAACTAATGTACAGTGGACAGCCAAAGCCACGGCACCCCCCCAAGTCATTCAAACTAGCAGAAACGTGAGCCAAACGAGAGAGCGGCCAACAACAGGAAGCATGCCGGGGTGAAATGACCGACCCTGACGCACCGTTCAAGATGACTCCTTGTGTCGAACCCGCAGCACGCCGACATATCTGACATGCACAGCTTCCGCGTGAAACCAAAACTGATCCGATTCCTAGGCAACAAGTACTTCCGCCATCATTTATCGCACTTGAGCTGTGGAGACCACCTTCATAAAGGTACGTTGCATCTCCGCAAAGTCTGTGAAGGACGAATGCCGTCGACAGACATGTCAAGAGTGTCTCCTTTGCAAAAGACACGGCTTCAACAACCGCTGCTTACCAAATTTTCTTGCTGAAAACGAAAAAACAGAAAAAACGGTGGATGGGCCAGGAAGGACGCACAAGCTGTCGAACTCGGAACTTCTGATGACGTGGCAGGCGTAGCGAACCCATATAATCACGCACAGAGGGTTGTGAAGAAAAGTGAACCGACCTTCCGCCAGCCGGTCGGGTTCCGGTTACCCCTAGAAGGCTCCTATTGCCCAGACACAAGAAGTCTCGAAAAAGGGAGGGGTGATGTGGAGACCACCTTCCTTCATGAAGGTACTATCTCGACAACGTCTGTCGAGGACGACTCCCGCTTGTCACACAGTGAACTTTTGAGAAAAAGCTGGAGAATATTACCTCCATCTTAGCCTTGCTGGAGCCGAACAGACCACCGAAAAGCCCCTTCTTGGGCTTCTTCACGTCCACCGATGGCACGTCAGGGACGGTAACACTGGCGTCCACATCTCCGGAGGGAAGCTGCAAAACATTAGAAATCAAAACGCTTGGTTCACACCGTGATGTGGACAATACTCATGGACTTGTTGACACATGGGCGCGATAATTTGCAGATGAATCATTTTGTAAAAATTGTTTTCGAAAATTCACCCGAACATAAGCGGCAACGGTAACAACACAACCGGTGGCTGTTTCATAGGCCGTCAAAGTTGGATCAAATATTGTAAAGTACAGAAAACAACCATGCACACACCTCAGCGTCCGGCTTGTCGCCCGACAGACCAACCGCCGCGCCGATCGCACCCACAGCCGCCATACCACCGGCCGCCAGGCCAGCCGTCAGCGACGAGTCACCACCCTCCACCTTCACGTCTGGCGCCGTCACGCTCACGCCACCAGAGGGCATCCCGGGCATCTTGCCCGCTAGGTCCACGGAAGGCACCTCCACGGAGCCAGACGGCGCATCCACAGAGCCAGACACGTCCGGCACGGACACGTCCGGTACGGACACGTCTCCGCTCACATCAGGCACCTTGAGGGAGCCAGAGACATCTGGCACGGAGACATCGGCAGACAAGTCCGGCCCGGACACAGCGGCAGGCACATCCGGCCCGGACACGTCTCCGCTAACATCCAGGACGGAGACATCGGCGGAAACATCCGGCACCGATACGTCTGCAGCCACATCAGGCACAGAGACGTCCGCGTCCGGGACCTGTGGCGAGCCGGCAAGTCAAGAACGAGTTGAGCGACGCATCGAGATTAACGCATGTACAAACCCAACAGGAGTAAGCAAGACGCCGACAGGCAAGAGCGGGGTGATTGGCGCTCAAATACCCAACGATTAAAAAAACCTGGTGAAGATTATGGAGCCCACAGACCGTTACAAGAACGATGCCCGTGTATGAAACCCGAATCAACGCCCTACACGTTTTCCACGTCAAACACACCGTGTGATGGCCATATACTCTCGTACTTTGTACCCATGATTTCGATCGGAAATCAGCCCCCACAAAACGATGTTTGTGTTCCGAGGGAAAGGCCACGGAAAAACTGTCACCATGTCTGGAAAGTTCCACCAACCAAAACAAGTACCATCTGAGGTAGATTGTTTTTTCCCGCATGGCACTCGCTTACCTCGATCTTGGCCTTGCTGGAGCCGAACAGACCGCCGAACAGACCCTTCTTCGGCTTCTTCACCTCCACCGATGGCACTTCCGGGGTATTGGCCGAGATGTTGTCCATTTTGGCACCCAGGTCCGCGTTCAAATCGCCAACCTTAGACCCCACGTCAGCAGACAGGTCGCTCACGGACGGCATCGACGCGTCCACCGCTGCAGTGGGAACGTCTACCGATGCCGAGGGGAGAGAGGCGTCGGCGGTGACGGAGGGTACGTCAACGGAGGCGTCGATAGACGGGGCCTCTACCGAGACACCAGGAACCTCCACAGAGGCGTCACCGCTGTCAGAGGGAACGTCAACGCCCACATCGGGGAGCGAGCCGGAGACACCGGGCACAGACACGTCACCAGAAACTTCCGGAAGTGATCCAGAGACATCAGGAACAGACACGTCGCCAGACACCCCCGGAAGTGATCCAGAGACGTCAGGCACAGACACGTCGCCCGACACATCCGGCAGTGCTCCGGAGACATCGGGGACGGATGCATCGACAGACGCTTCAGAAAGCGACGCAGAGACGTCAGGAAGAGCACCAGACACGTCCGGCGCCGTGACGCTCACATCGGGCACAGACACCTCGCCAGACACATCCGGCAGGGATCCGCTCACGTCGACCGCAGGCGCATCCACAGTGACATTCGGGGCAGCGACATCAACATCCGGGACCTGCAACAGCAGCAGGGACAATACGGGCAGACCACGTCATCATCGGGATATAGATCTGCCCCGTGCATCGGCATGACACCAACGCCTCGACGAACTCTCGGCAATATTAATAGTAGCCTTTCAAGTCTTGAGGGACAAAGAGCGCGTTTGATAGACATCGACCTAACTCAACTTGACATTATCTTACCATGGCCTTCCCCTTAAGTGAAGGCTTCTTGAACGACAGGCCGCCGAACAGACCCTTCCTGGGCTTCTTCACGTCCAACGAAGGCACATCAGGGACGGAAACACTGGCGTCCACGTCTCCGGAGGGAAGCTGAAAGAACAAAACAAAACGACAGCGGTCACCATGGAGACAAGACGGTCGACGAAGGAACTCGCTCAACGAACACCAATCTAAATCGTTGCTAGCGCTCTGCGAATCAATGCGAACCAACGCTGTGCAAAACCTTCACCAACTGGCCGAATCACACAACCCGAACAGCAACTTACGCAACACAAACCAAAAAGAAGCTGAAAACATGTGCTACCAACCCGGCAACAGCTGTTCGACAGACTCGAGAAAACAGCGGCACCACTGGCGAGAGGGTCAACGTGGTTACACCCGATCGATATCATGCGCACACATGCAAACCTTGGCATCCGGCTTGTCGCCCGACAGGTCAACCGCCGCGCCGACCGCACCCACAGCCGCCACGCCACTGGCCGCCAGGCCAGCCGTCAGCGACGTGTCGCCGCCCTCCACCTTCACGTCCGGCGCCGTCACGCTCACATCGCCGGAGGGAAGCTCGCCACCGACGCCTCCTTCCACGGAGGGCATCTTGCCTGCCAGGTCCACGGAAGGCACCTCCACGGAGCCGGACGGCGCGTCGATGTCCACCGAAGGCACGTCCACGCCACCTGGAAAGACGGACATCGCATGCATATTTGTGAGCGCCGTCTACTGAGCGTACGATTACACTTTTGCCAAACGCAACGGTCGCGCGGTCCATCCACGTTTCTCAACACCGAGTAACTACCCGCGGGTTCGGTTTTCGTTAGCAACAGCGAGTACGGCGAGGGGGTCGGCCGCAAGGGGGGCGCCAGGGAACAAGTACTTCGCGGTCGATTGATCGTCTTGCCGGTAGAGTAGTCACGTGCAGCGAGCGTTTCCGTCGGAGCTCACCCGACAAGTAAGCCGCGACAGACGGCACCTCTACACCCAGCGACGGAGCGCTAGCTTCGACGTCGACCGACGGCACCGCGGCGTCCATCATGCCCGAGGGCAGGTCTACACCCAGCGAAGGAGTATCGACGTCAACGGACGGTACTTCCACACCCACGGACGGGGCGCTAGCCTCGACAGAAGGAACGTCCATCTCGACCGACGGCACTGCCGCACCAATCGTGCCCGACGGCAGGTCTACACCCAGCGAAGGAGCATTGACGTCAACGGACGGTACTTCCACACCCACTGACGAGGCGCCAGCATCGACAGACGGAGGGTCGATATCGACCGACGGCATTGCCGCATCCAACGAGTCCGACGGCAGGTCTACACCCACCGAGGGAGTACCGACGTCAACCGACGGTACTTCTACACCCAGCGATGGGGCGTCAACATCGACCGCAGGGGCATCGACGTCGATCGTTGGCATTGCACCGGCAGACGGCATGTCAACCGCAACCGACGGCAAACTCGTGTCAACAGACGGCAACTCCGGCGCAGAGCCGGAAGTTTCCCCGCTAGGGCGAGGCAATTCAGGTACCTCGACGCCTTCAACAACGGTAAAGATTTGCGGACGGATTATGCGAAAAGGTGACGAAGGGCGATCTTGCACATGGTTTCGATGACAGGTCCCTGATAGCAACATCGAGTGAAGCATCGTGATGATAAATAGTGTGCCCTAGCCGTCAACAAGCAACGTGTGAGTAACCGCCGAAAAACAGCAGGATCGAAGGGCACAGACAGCGCAGTATCTTTCAGCGGGTACAGTCAGGAAATAGGCAAACTTGCGTTGTTGGCGGTGCTTGGCCCATCCTCTTATTCTGAATGGAAATGTGCAAGGCTCGAGAGCATGCTCCACAATGTTTTCAGTCATTCTGCCCCCCCCCCCCCCCCCGAAAAAGAGGGACACCGTCACCGCACGCAAAAAACAGTGGCAGGTTCACCATGCGTGGGCCCGAAGGCCACGCCGGATCGATGCCACACGTCCTCCCCTTCCGTCGGACAGATTCATTAACCCAACAGGACGGCAAAATACTGTACCCGTCCGGATTCCCATCCCCCCCGGAAACATAACTTACCCGACAAATCGACCGACGGAATCTTGGCGTCGATCGACGGCGCCGCGGCAGAGGCGTCTCCGCCGATCGAGGGCACACCGACGTCGGGCGTCGACAGTCCACCGGAAACCTCGGGCAGCTTGGCGTCAACGTCCGGCACGGAAACGTCCACGGAGGCCTCCGGCAATGACACATCTCCAGAGACATCAGGCACAGCGACATCACCATCCGGGACCTGTGTGGGAGTTGAGAAAAGCGTTTGAGTGGCGCGCTCAGCAACAGGCCACGTGTATGCATATGCACCACATTGAGCGACGAAACATGGAGCGACAACGTGCATTGAAGGCCTCGCACAGAGAACAGGAATGCGTTATAAATGCTGGAAGCCGTCGGCGTAAGGTCGGCCTAAAAAGTCGGACGGGTTCAAGCCAAACAGTGTCGAATTCAGTTTTTCCTTGCAATCACAAAACGTCGCGACCAACAAATCGTCCAAGCTAACCTTGAGCTTCTTGCCGGAGAGCTTCTTGAAGGAGAGCCCGAACAGACCCTTCTTGAGCTTAAAGGGCTCCAAGGAAGATGACTTCGCGTCGACATTGTCTCCCTTCACACCAACGTCCCCCAAGACATCGCCAACTGAGGGCATGGACGCGTCCACCTCCGCGTCAGGCTTGTCGCCCGACAGACCAACCGCCGCGCCGATCGCACCCACAGCCGCCACGCCACCGGCCGCCACGCCAGCCGTCAGCGACGTGTCACCGCCCTCCACCTTCACGTCCGGCGCCGTCACGCTCACGTCTCCGGACGGAAGCTCACCACCGACGCCTCCTTCCACAGAGGGCATCTTGCCTGCCAGGTCCACGGAAGGCACCCCCACCGACCCGGACGGCGCGTCCATGTCCACCGAAGGCACGTCCACAGAGCCAGACGCGTCCGGCATTGACACGTCGGCGCTTACGTCAGGAACCTTAAGAGAGCCTGAAACGTCCGGCACAGACACATCGCCAGTCACGTCGGGTACCNGTCCGGCACGGACACATCGCCAGTCACGTCGGGCACCTTCAGTGAGCCAGACACGTCCGGCACGGACACATCGCCAGTCACGTCGGGCACTTTCAGTGAGCCAGACACGTCCGGCACGGACACATCGCCGCTAACGTCCGGCACAGAAACGTCTCCACTGATGCCGGGCACGGACACGTCCCCGCTCACATCCGGCACCGCGACGCGCACGTCGGGCGCGGACACGTCGGCAGAAACATCTGGCACGGACACGTCGGCATCCGGGACCTGTAGGCAAGTCAACAAGATAACCGAGCAAAGTTAATACGGTGTTCCAAAATAAACTTGGTTCACAATGACATATGGCTAGAGGAGCACGAGTTTGTCGTGAATTGATACATCGAAAATGGCGAGAAGGCGCTACTGAATCGTTCCCGATTGGTGTTGGCTACGCAGAGCGACGAGGGTATGCATACGTCCCGGGCGTCACGAATGGACTGAACTGTGAAGCGCCAACAAGCTGTCGGCGACCTTCCTGCCAGAGCGAACATGTTCCTGTGGCGAAACAGCACTGCTGGTGCACAAACGAGGCGATATCAAAAACCTCTTGAACAGACGACGCTTGCCTCTATCTTGGCCTTGGAGCCGAACAGGCCACCGAACAGACCCCTCTTGGGCTTCTTGACGTCCACCGACGCATCGGGGACGGAAACACTGGCATCCAAGTCTCCAGAGGGAAGCTGGAATTGGATAACAGAAATGGGCGTATTCGTGCAAAGTACCAACGTCATCGCATTCCAAACACGGACATCGTATGAACTCAAAGGCGGACGATCGGAAACTAAACAAAAAGCAGCATCAGATGGCTAGTTCACCGAACCCTAAAAAGCAAGTCGCCGCCTTTGCAGACACAGGCTGGGAATACGCAACCATAAAATCTATGAACATCGATTCCGACATCGGCCAAGCAACATCAAGAATCAGTAACACACCTCCACGGAGCCGGACGGCGCGTCCATGTCTACCGAAGGCACGTCCACAGAGCCAGACACGTCAGGCATAGACACGTCTCCGCTCACATCAGGCACCTTCAGGGAGCCAGAAACGTCCGGCACGGACACATCGGCAGACACATCCGGCACCGACACATCTCCGCTCACGTCGGGCACCTTCAGAGAGCCAGCAACGTCCGGCACGTCTACAGAGCCGGACACGCCAGGCACAGACACGTCCCCGCTCATGTCGGGCACATCCACAGACCCAGAAACGTCCGGGACGGAGACATCGGCGGAAACATCCGGCACAGAAACGTCGGCGCTGACCTCAGGCACAGAAACATCGGCGTCCGGGACCTGGCACGACGAACAAACGTGGGACGATTGAGCAACTCATGAGGAACAAACTCATCCATGGCACCACGTGACACCGCTGCACAATGGGACAAACAAACACTTCCTCGTTGGCAAACCAAAGGCACAGCCAAACAAGCTTGGCAATCGCGAGACGCAGCAGGAGCGCAAAAAAAAAAACATGTGTCGAATCCATCTCCATGCTTGTGGTGAAGAAGCACAGCGCGCTTCAGCTTTGGTTGTGGCTATTGGTGGGAGTAAGGTCACGCCTGAATGAGTGCAGCATGGCTCGTTCATCGACAGAAAAGCACCGATCAGGACTTGTTCCGAATTGGCGGAGACCGGTATATCGCCGATGGTTAGGAGGTGCTAGGTAACAGCGCGCGATCTCCCTCTCAGTAACACACGTTGCATCAATACGCACAACGTTGTCAGGCCTTCAAGGGTCATGAACGCTGAAACTAACCATTTACACATCAACCACCTGATAGTCTAGAGCTCTGCGAACAAAGGTGGTGCATGACCAGCACTCACAACGGGACAAAATACACGGCCATCCAACACACCCGCTTGGTAGCCTGGACTTCGACAAGCTCAAGCTCACCTCCACCTTTGCCTTGCCCGAGCCGAACAGACCACCGAACAGCCCCTTCTTGGGCTTCTTCACGTCCACCGACGGCACGTCAGGAAATGGCAACGAAGGTGTTCAGGCACATAAACATGAGGGACTCCAAACGCGAGCATAGATTTCGCGTTCGGGCTTCATGCGCAACAGCAAGCCCTAACCCTTACAATCACGACAAAATCAACGCTTATTACGGAGTACCAAAAAAGCGCATGTCATCCAAACGTACCTCAGCGTCCGGCTTGTCGCCCGACAGGTCAACCGCCGCGCCGATCGCACCCACAGCCGCCACGCCACCGGCCGCCAGGCCAGCCGTCAGCGACGTGTCGCCGCCCTCCACCTTCGCGTCCGGCGCCGTCACGCTCACATCGCCGGAAGGAAGCTTGCCAGCGACGCCTCCTTGCACGGAGGGCATCTTGCCTGCCAGGTCCACGGAAGGCGCCTCCGCGGAGCCAAGCGGCACGTCCATACTCACCGAAGGCACGGACACGTCTCCGCTCACATCAGGCACGTTCAGAGAGCCAGAAACGTCCGGCACGGACACATCGGCAGACACATCCGGCACGGACACGTCGCCGCTCACGTTCGGCATGTCAGGAGCCTTGAGGCCACCTTCAACGGCGGGAAGGTCAGCGGAGACGTCGTCCACTCCAGGGAGTTTGGCTCCTCCTGTGGTGCGAACAGAACGCGAGCAAGAAGTTGAGGCGGTAAATACTCTTTGGAACAGGCACAGTATATTCAAATCACCCAAAACAACACCCGAGAATTGGAGGTGCACATACCGCGCACATCAATACTGAACCCATTTGTACATCGTTAGGGTTGCCTAAACTCGCCGCACACATGCCTCCAATTACCGAAGCGGCCTCAAAAATTGGTCCTCTCAGTGGACGATTTGGATCACAGCGCAAAAGTTGAATGCCATTGTCAAACGAACTTAGCGCTAAAGGGGAGCAAAGTGTCATTAGCACTGCCTTGACCGAGATTGTATGTGTATTGACGAACAAGCGGAAGAGAAAGTTCCCGCACAGCGCCAAAACTGCCGTCACGGAGGTGCAAGCATCTGCACGGGATTTTCTCTTTGTTTTCGGTGCGCAAGGTGGAAACGGAACCAGCACACACTCGCGAGACCTTTAGTCTCGTTCTCGCAAAACACGTCGATCCGGTGCGCCGGGGTATCTCGTCATCAACATTTCACCGCTGCACACACTTCTTTCTCCTATCAACAAAAATTCATCGGTACTTACCATGTTCGTCCTACATATTTGGACGAGCAATAACATCGGAGAATGAACGTATACAAAATACTGCATTCGACAACACGTGTATCAGACCGTGTATACTGCCTACGATTTCAATACGAAGTACATCAGACACACTGATGTCGGCGCGAGTTGAAAGCTCGGATGCTCCGCTAGCGAAGGGGTAAAAAATGCCGAACGATTCGTGTTCGGAAACTTTTGACGGCCAAATTTCAACGCCGCACTTTCGGCACCGGAACGGTTTCTCCCCTGAAGCAATCAAGCTTTGTCAACTCGCCCGAAGTGCGTCTGACTACCCTCCGGTAATTTTGTTTCAGGGGATGTGAGTTAACCTTTAAACCATCTTTTCCCCGATCGCCCTCAATTACCGCAGCAAATAATGGCTTCAGAGGGGAATTTGTCGCCAGTGCGCAACGTACACTAATGTTTCCGTGACATTTTTGATTGACCACTTAGATAAGACTTCTGAATCACGATAGCATTGTTCTTTCGCCTCAACGACAAGTTTTCTCGAAGAGATCATTCTCGTTTTCTGTGGAGGTCCAAGTGCTTCTAGACGTCGGTCAGTTCCAACAACATACAATTCTTCGCATCTTACCGCTGGGGACGTTGACGTCGAGGCTTGGCGCAGAGACGTCAACATCGGCATCCGGCACCTGCGTCGTGATCGTGGTGCATGGAAGCGGTTGCGCGCGCGTGGGCGGTGTTTTGTAGGGTCATCTAGCCAAGAATCCGATGGCGACTCGACTGCGCGCGCAGGCCACCCAACAAAAAGAGTGTCTTCCTAGACCGTAGATACCAAATGGAGATTGGTTCAAAGTTTGTACTATGAGTTGCTGGCCTGGAAATAGACGACTAGGCGTTAAGTCACACATCAAGAAAAAATGAAGAAAAAGAGTGTTTACGAACACCTCAGTTACCAAGTGGAGATTGGTCTTAATATCTTACCTCAATCTTCGCCTTGCTGGTCTTGAACAGACCGCCGACTGCGCCCAACAGACCCTTCTTGGGCTTCTTCACGTCAAGCGAGGCGTCTACCTCTCCCGAGGGCAGTTCCGCGCTAGGAACCTAGCGGACAACCAACCACCGGCAAACGGGCCAAAACATGACCAACACGACACATGTCAGTCAGCTGCAGAAGAAAAATATGCAATAGAAGAGTGGCTTGTTTTTTTTGTGGGGGGCGAGGGCGTGCTCTTATGTTTTGCAGGTATTAGCGTTTAGACAATTGACCACGCGTTCTCGTGAGGACGGAGCATTTGGGGATATGGGGAAGCGTGGAAAAAACACTCACGAAGTACAATGTTTTCCTTGCAGATCTTCTGAAAACGTATACCGGCTAAGGGGCTTCTCAGGCATATGCTGCACCCCGCATGGTGGTGACCAGCTACAATCAGCAAAGACATCCTTCCGACTGTTAAGTGTTGTCTCGAACGGACATAAACTTTTCTGTGATTGTACGCAAATCTGCAAAAAACACCACCAATACAGAGTATTTTCTTCGACGCACCTCAACATCCGGCTTGTCGCCCGACAGGCCGACCGCGGCGCCGACGCCCGCCAACGCCGCCGCGCCGCTGGCGGCGAGCCCCGCCGTCAAGGAGGCGTCGCCGCCCTCCACCTTCACGTCCGGCGCGTCCACCGACGCAGACGGCATGTCCACGTCCACGGACGTGGAAGGCATGTCTCCGCCCACCTCCGCCGTAGGCAAATCTATGGAACCAGACGGCGCCGACAGGGAGCCAGACACGTCGGGCGCAGACACCTCGCCGGGGACCCCGGGCAGGGAGCCGCTCACACCGGGCAGCGACGCGTCTGCGGAGACATCGGCATCCGGCACCTGGGGCAAGGGATCGCGGAGGTGGCGGTGTCGATGTCCATACCCGGGTCGAAATCGCTACCCTTCAAAGCGTGCATGGGGTTTGATGTCGGCAAAAGCGACTTCGGCCGCGTCGAGAGATCCATTTTATCTTTGTCTCTCCCGAAACATTCCATGTTTTCTCCCTTCGAACAAAACTAAAGAACAAAACGTACACTTCGGAGAGATGGTTACAATCCGTCCCACGATCACAACGATGCCCATCGTCAACAAGTACTTGGAGAGGACGGGGGCGTCGATCTTTGCGTTTCAGGAATTGGAATGTGGAGGGGGTAAGTGTCGGTCGACAGGCGGGGGTTATTGTGAAAAACGACCGAAGGTCTTTGGTCGTAACTGCGGTGATTCGTGATTGCAAGTGATTGCATTACCGCGGCGCGTGGCGGGTGATGTACCAACGAAGCAACCGATCACGCTGTGCAGGAAACTTTTCTCACCGCTGCCAGATTTCGAGTATGAATACTACCTGTACACAGCACGAAGACGTAAGGTGTCCTCGCTGGTTTCGAGAAGCTCAAAATAGAACCACAAACTACCTGCACAGAAAAGGTGTGCGGGACAGTTTGAGTTACCTCGATGTTCGTCTTGCTCGAGCCGAAAATGCTGCCGAACAGACCCTTCTTGGGCTTCTGCACGTCGACCGACGGCACGTTAGGGGCCTTCGCGCCCACGTCAGCCGAGAGGTCACCCGCCGACGGCAGGGAAGCGTCCACTCCTCCGGACGGAACTTCCACGGATGCGGACGGCATCGACGCGTCTACCTCTGCAGAGGGAACGTCTACCGATGCCGAGGGGAGAGAGGCGTCGGCGGCGACGGAGGGTACGTCCACGGAGGCGTCGATAGACGGGGCCTCTACCGAGACACCGGGAGCGTCCACCGAAGCATCTACGCTGGGAACCTGCGCATGGGGGAACGCAGGTGCGAAAAAAAAACAATGGGGGGGGGGGTTCGTTAAATATACAACAAGAACCGTTCGTTAAAATGCATGGCAGTGACGAAAATTTTAGGCGTACTTTATATCGCGACGGAACCAAAATGTCCTCCAGCGGCTGGTGGTTGGACTGTTACGCGCGTTTTCCGCGCACTTTCACGACACGGTAAAACGTTTCCAGTATACCTTCAACTCTAGAGCGGTGCCTGGTAATCCTCATCATGGGAAGCCCATACATGCCATGGAAAGCCTCAACTATACCATGGAAAGCCCTCACACACCACCCCGAAGAGCCCCCAACAAACATGGAAAGTGAATCAGTACGATGGGAAATTCCTGACATACCTCGACGTCAGCCTTTCCGCTCCTGCCGTAGAGGCCTATCGCGCCGAGGGCGGCGGCGCCGACGGAGGCAGCCCCCGCCGTCAACTTTCCGGTCAAAGACCCGCCCTCCACCTTCACATCGGTGGCGTCGGGTCCCTCCACGGCTCCTGTGACATTAAGGAGCAAGATGGGAGAAAAACACCAACAAAAGAAAAAAAAAACGAGTCAGCACGTCTAGTATATATTAGAAGGCACTCTACATGAAGCGCAGAATGACTGCCCGTTCAAGAAACACCACAGCAGTCGAAAGGGATGTGCTCGAAGTCTTGCAAACGCTAGCAACCCCGTCGTCAACGACGTCGTTAACGTGTGAATCGTCCTACAAGGCTACCAAGGCCGTAACGGCGGGTTCCGGAACATTTTTTTCTCCATCCTGCTGGTCACCGTTCGCGTGTTTAGCTCGCGGCGCCATCGGCACCTACCAGACGCATCGACAGAAGGTGCATCGACGGAGGGTGCATCGACAGACGCCGAAGCCAAGGTCACGTCCGCAGGTGGCAAGATCCCCTCGCCGCCGACGGTAGGCATTTCAGCCGAAACGCCGCCCTCGATAGCTGAGAAGGGGGGAAGTTGCATGTTTGCGTGATCCGGAGCGAATTGGAGTCCGGCCAGTGGCGCAAGCACCGCAGTACATGCAGAAGGCGCAGCGCGGAGAGAGGGGAACATACAGGCATAGGCACAAAACAAACAACATAGAAAGGCAGAAAAAGGAAGATTCGGAGTCAACATGGAAATCTTTGAAGCGTGCATAAGACAGCCCTTTTCCGTGCAACAATCCCTCAGCCAGCACAAAAACCCAAACAGCAGTGCCACACACAACGGCAAAATAACGCATACTCCATTTATCTCCAGGCCAATCCCACTCAAAGGTATTTCAAATCATACGCGGGAGCGCGAAAAATCACCCCGCCCGTGTAAGCCCCGACTCACCGGGCACGGAGACATCGACATCGACAGCGGCGTCCACGTCGGCATCGGCATCGGCAAATTTCTGCGTTCATCATCATTACAAAAAACATCGGGCGCCAACACAGGCGAGCGCGAGGAAACAATAATCGCTTTCAATAATGGGTAGATCTCGCATCTGGCGCAAATAAGAATAACGATCAAGAGGGGTGTGACCGCTGACACGCGATGGGACGTGCGGCTACATGATGCATACGTACAGATCACGCAAACTCCAACCCAAACCGGTACTACTCCATACCGACTTGCTGTGGAGATGGCCGACAAAAAATGGAGGGGGAACAAAATCTTTTGTGCGAATCTCGAAGGCACGTGGATGGCCAACAAACGATGGGAAGAGAGGGGAGTGACTGTTGCGCAAATCTCGACGAAAAGCTACGCGTCGCAATCTCTCGCCGCAGGGGCATCGCTATCAAAGGCTATACTCAGCCAGGTGGGGAACAAGCGCAGTATAGCATGGGACAGGCAACAGCAACGCCCCACGATACTATTTCATGTACGTACCGAGTTCTTTCTGCCGAACAGGCCACCGAAGAACTTTCCGCTCTTCCTCTTGGCGCTGCTCAAAGCACCGGTGGGTGGCGAGGCCGCGCCTGAAACTGAAAAAAGCACACGAAAGAGAACAAGCTCAAGAAACAAGGCAGTGAAGAGGGTCCTCGTCCAACGAAAAAAAAAAGAGGAATGATACTCAAGCCAAAAATCTTGAAACCGATTCTTCGCGCTGGAACGAAACTAACGAAAAAGCACGGGGAGCGTCATGCAGAGAGCTGCTATCAAAACGTACACGCGCCAGCAAGATGTTGCGCTAATTTTTCACCGCCTTGGTGTGACAAAAAAAAAAAATATCGAAATTCTTGTGAGAATTTTCCCCACACAAAATTCACCACGCCTTACCCAACCTGCCAAGACGCAAGCGGCGACAACCCATTCAAGCAACCCGGGAGAAAAACGACGCTTTGCAAGAAAGAACTGGCTTCTGCGCCATCCCCACAACAAACGAAACTCACCCCCGACGTCCGCATCTCCGCTCGGAAGCGTCAACCCCCCCTCCACCTTGGGCGCGTCCACGCCGCCGGCGCCGCCGCCGCCCTCGACCGACAAATCTACGGCGGGCGCGGACACGTCCACGGCGGGTGCATCGACGGCGAGCACGGACGCGTCTGCCGCCGGCGCGGCCACCGCCGCCGTCTCCTCCTCCGGTCGGGGCCGGCCCTCCTTCTCCGGCTTGATGCCCTGGGCGCCCCAGCCTGCGACCTGCGCGGCTTCCGCCAGGGAGGCGGTCATCTTCCCGAACTTCCCCGGCGCGGGCGCGGGCGCCTCCTCCTCCGCGAGGTCCGCCGAGGGAGTGTCGTGGCGCTGGACGCCCGCCGACTCGCGCATGCTGTCCGCGATGCTGTGCAGGAAGCCGGACCCGGGAACTTGGGGTCCCTTCTCCCCCTCGGCTGCGCAGAGAGGGAGGTAAGAGGCGGCGTTAGAACATGACGGGGAAGGACAGACCTGGTCCGCGAGTGTTGCGGCCAACACACACGGCGGTGGTGCAGTAGATACTGTTTTACTAGTGGTATTATTTTGGTTGCTTCGTCGTAACAGCGTGACAGCGCCACGGGTCAAGGCACGTGGCTAGCACGACAGCCGTGCTCGACTCTCGACAAAACGCCCTAGCCATCGTGGGGGTTCGCAACAGATCGTTCTACGTACCGAGACTGGAAGAGAGAGCTTCCAAACGTCCACAAACTGGTTACGCTACGCAGCAGTCTTGAGCAAAGCATTGCCCGCACCTTTCGCCGTCGGCAATGCTGCACCGCCTTCTACCGAGGGCATCAAGCCCCCAACGCTGACGTCGCCACCTACTCCGGTCACCTCGGCATTCGGTGCCTGCGAAACCAAGCACCGCAGACAGTGTTTGAGGCGCGGGGATGTCGAGTCAACGTTTACACCGGCCGCAAGTCAGAGAGAGAGAACGCCGAAAATTTTGCCGGGGCAGTCATTGAAATGGAACAGGGCAGGAAGGCGGAACGGGAGCGGGGCGTACGCCCCAACGTGCCATGCACAGCTTCCAAAGGGGCGCACAAGAACAATATTAGCAGAGTTGTCTACCCAACAAAAGCAGCGATCAATATGGCGAGTCTCACGGACTTAGTGGGTCCAGAAGCGAACAGGGGAAAACAACGAACCTTGGGATCTCTCATTTCCGGAACGTTCGCGTCCGCACCCGGGACGTCGACACTTCCCTGAAACACAATTCATACGGAAGGTATTCAAGGCGCACGGGTGCCACAAGTCAGCAGCGAGCAGCGGCGCCAAAGATGCGGCGCACTTACAGGGACAATCAAGTTACCCATTGCCGACACACCCATTTACGTTAAATACAAACCTTCAGTTATATTGATCAAACAGACAATGGCGGACCATGCGGAGGGCACTAAGGGTAGGTGGGTCGGGTGGGGGGG